AATGTATCAAACGATACAGTAATTGTTTATTGTAAATGGGACCAAAATATGCAATGGTCCATCGGACTATTGACTTTGAAAATCTGATGGTCCTCTGATTTTAAAATTAGTTACACACATTTGCAGTCATAAAAAATGAACCTGTTTAAATGGTTGATGTAAAATTGGATAGTTGTTGTTCAATGTCTATGCGATGTTCTTAGAAGGTAAGCGTCCTATCCCCCTATCAGGATTTGTATGCAGCTCTTGCCAATCATTGTTGTGATAGCAGATTCTAACAGACACACAAGCTCACATTTTGGCATGAACGCGTCAATTTATTTCCGATCTCAACATTTACTGTGATTACAATATATTTCAGTGTATGGTTAGTAAGTACAGAGACGAAGGGAGAGTTCACAATGCAGTCTTCACGCCTCATACACTAAAAATGTCTTATACAAAGGAGTGTGCTTTAGCCACCTAGCATGAATATGCTAAGTGGGCATGGTTGTCTCTCGGACGAAGAAACTTACGACGCGTGTACATGTGCTAACATATATTCCTTGATTTACAGTTCATGAACATGCTGGTTCTGTCCATGATCGGAGTCATGATGTTCCACCCGAACGTGTTCCTGGCTCCTAAAGACAGCCAGGTGCACATCATACCTGTTGACGAGGTGGTGGATGAAGTGATGTCACCGCAGGAATCGACCGTCATCAACAGTAGTGACCCATATGCTCAAGTCGATGATGCATATAGCCTCGACTTGCTGGCATATGGCATTGACAGAAAATGGTCCATACGTATGTTATTGCTATTACATTGTTCACGAGCTATCTTTATCTCCGTGTCTTTCTCTCCCCCTCCCCCTTGTTTTCTCTCTTTATGTCAATCTTTCTTTCTCTTTTTTCTCTATGTCTATGTCTCTTTCTCTCTCTCTCTCTCTGTCTCTCTCTCTGTCTGTTTATGTCTCTCTCTCTCTGTCTCTGATTTCTATCTGCCCCCCTCTCTCTCTCTCTTGCTCTCATTTCTTTTGTTCTCTCTTTCTTCTTCCCCGCTCTCTCACTTCGAAAAAACCCAAAAACAAAGTAGATCTGGATGTTAAACCATCATCAGTGTTGTCTATCAGCGATTATCGTAAATTGAAAATCTTCTGTAGACTAGGAACCCACATGCCATAGCACCAATGCAAGTTAATTTTACACGTGTATGTTTGTGATGTATATGTGGGTACCCGGTTGTGTGTATTTTGCAGAGGATGCACATCTTGGTCTGGTGTTGACAGCCTGCACTTTCTTCATCACCACTCTGATGTGTTATGGGGCTGTGAAGGTTAGCCACTTATCTGTGTAATCCTGGAACAGCAATACATGAATTCTAAGAGTGATTGAAATCAGTGAACTTGTACCGTTCACATACTCCTTCACTCCTCAGTTGAGGCTGTGAACTGTGTCCGAATAGTTGCATTTAATGATTTTGTTTAGAAATAATTTTACTTTTTTTTCTGTATTTCTAGGGTCATCCGGGTTACTTGATGCCGTTCTTCTGCCTCCAAGTGTTCGACTTCTGCGTCACACTGCTGAGCATCGTTGGGTACTGCTCTTATCTGCCGGTTCTGAAGCAGAAACTGATGGAGAACGTGAGTTTCTTTTGCCGTCGGTATTTTACACGAGTCTCTCTGTTCTTCACAACGGAGAGTCTAGGACTCTAGTCTAACAACTCTAGTGCTTCAGGAATTTTATGCTCCATCTAACATTGGTTGCATGCGATGTAGAGGTGATCGGTGTAGTTTTGGCTGAAGTGTGAATTCTTTAATTTAGGATGTTTTTATACTTGCTACTAACGATTTTACAGTAGAGTTGGGGTTAGACATCAGGGTTAAGGTTTTAGAATTGGTTGTGTGATTAGGAATAAAGATTATAAGTAATTAGGGTGACATTAAATTTCACTTGTCCCCATTGCCCAGCATTTATACTCTCATCTTCTGTTTTGTTGTGCAGGTGATGTTTCGTGATGAGTTGGCTCGCATAGATGACCAGTGGTTTGGCGCATTTGTGATGGTTGCCTGCGCCCTGGTTGTCAGCCTGAAGGTGCGTAGGGGGGGGGGCAGAGGAGAAGGAGGGTGACGAGGTTGTTTGCAGTGGGGCTGTGGTTGTCATGTATGGTTTACACAGTACCAGAAGGTGCTGCCATCTATGTTATAAATAAAGTACGGCCTTCTATCATGGCGGTCACATAACCAAGCATTGTACGTATATTATAGTGGTGACCGATCAGTCTGCTTTGAACATGTTTCAGTGTCACTATTTTTCGTAGGTTAACGTATAGCATTGTCGCGTGTGTCTTGTGTGTGAGAGTGTGCATGCGTGAGTGTGTGCATGTCATGAGTGCGTATGTGTACGTACATTTCACATAGAGCAATCGGTGCACGTTCGCCAATTAGTACTTCTGAGTGTTTTTGTTGTTGGCGTGCGTATGGCACGTTTAGTGTGTGTGTCTGTCTGCCTGTATGTGTGTGTGTGCGTGCGTGTGTGTGCGTAAACTAGCTCTGCTGCTGGCGATGTGTGGTCTCTAGGCGGAGGCTTGATGTTGCTGTGGCCGTGTTGTTGCAGGCGTACATGATGGGAGTGGTGTGGTCGTGCTACAAGTACCTGTGTCAGCGTAGGCTGCTGCTGGCCAACAACGTGGATGGTGTCACACACTTCCTCGATGTTGACTCCGAGGTAAGTCGGTCCTTTGCGTCTATCTCACTCCGAAATCTTGCTTCCTTTCCTCCTTCTTTTCTTCGGTCAGTTTTAAAACAACAACTTGGGTGGGATGCAAGATGAGAGCTTATGAGTGCAGCCAGAAGGTGGCGCCAGTCACCACAGTACGATTCTCAATTTAATGCGACATGGCAAGGTTCTGTGTGTTGCAAACGTTTCTCGGAAATTGACCGGGCATTGATGACTGTGATTAGGACTTGGAAGGGCCTGGCAACTGTGTGCGCGTACTCGATAACTACTTGCACGTCCCCAATCTGCTGCAGGCTCTCCTGCCTCCAATGTACGACGATGTGCTCGAGATGAAGAAGTCTGAGATTCCCGACTGTCCGCCACCGGCCTACGCTCCGTAAACATCGGCGAAAATCGACGTCGCTGCGAAAATGGCTTCGGGTGAGCGCGCGGGGATGTTTCCCATCGTCAGCATCGTTTGTGGTTAACGAGTTCTTCGATAAGATCTCGACCAGCACTTGGACATGCTGTTATTGGTAATTTAATCACTTTATGTTATGCTGTGAGGGTTGTGGGACAAAAATCGGCATGAAATGTGCTTCTGGCAACCATTTTTTTTATCACGAGGTGATTCATTTGGGTACATATTGTTGCGGCTGGCTGGGAATATGATTTTTTTCCTGTGGTGCACGTTGCAGGTCCACAACAATTCCGAATTAAAAATATCTATCATATGAAAACAATATTCCTTAAATTTAAACATGTTCTATTGGAACTGTGTATGCGCTAATTTTTATTGTCATAATTAAATTGACCAGTGCTGTGAGATTTTAAAATGGGAAGGTGGTAAAACCGTAACACATAATTTATGATTGTCAATGTATCTATTTGTAGGTGAGCATATGATAAGTAATTTGTGTATATGTACACCATGCATATTTGTATTAAATAGGTAGTATATACTGTAAACACTGAAGCTAGTTATAGATTGGTTAGTCAAAAATTCATATACTAAATTTAATGTCGTTGTAGACAAAAATAACAAGACAAAGACCATTTGATTAGTTGGAACTTTTGAAACTAGCACGTTCTTTTTTCCATGTTGTATATTGACAACAAGAATCCTAATCATTATGGCGTACCGTTTTTGAATTTGCCCGAATTTGATTGTATAACGTGTGGTACTATGTCTCAAAAGGCTTACAAACTAAATATGCATATATGAGCTTTTAATTTTAAATTCTTTTATGTGGTATAAAATCATGTGTGCATATAGTAGTAAGTATACAACTAACAATAAGTATACCCAACAACCAAATAGTGTAATCTTGGTAATAGTAATGAAGTCGTATAGTACTGATGTCTGTTGAGTCAACCTACCCTGATGTTGTATGTGAAAAAAAAGCAGTTTTCCTTCACTCGAGTGTGCATTACTTGAATACAGTTGTGCTCATAGGGTCTATGTCCCCCAGGGTACTATCGGAGGGTACCATGGATACGGTTCGATATATCGGAACGTACCCTGGTAACAATCTGATATGGTTAGGGTTAGGGAGTAGGCGTAGGCGACTCCCTAGACTCGTTAGTGGAGTAGGCGAGGTACGGTCCGACATATTAGATAGTACCAGGGTACGTTCCGATATATCGAACCGTACCCAGGGTACCCTCCGATAGTACCCTGGGGGACATAGACCCTCTCAGCTACAGTTGTATCATATTTACTAGAAATGTTTTGCTCAAGAAATTTTAAACTAGCAGTGTCTTGTCATGGCTGTTTAAATCTTCAAAACTAAGAAGGCACTGTGTATATATATATAATTACGATCAGAATAAAATTTCGTTACGTGATCAACCGTGTTTGGCTTTTTGTTTGTTGTAGATCGTGAGGTGCATCTAGTTGAATAGCGTAAGTGTCGCCTATATTTATGCATATTTTCCAGTGTGTTTGTCTCTCTATCTGTATGTCTGTCTGTCTATCTATAAACGATACAGGCACGTTTCACACGCAGGGGCGTAGCTACGGGGGGGGGGCCTGGGGAGGCACGTGCCCCCCCCATAAATTTTCTGTGCCCCCCCCAGGTGCCCCCCCACTGAAAATTCATGCTTGATGAAAAAAATTTGAATTAAAAACGATGCCGTTAGAACAGTATAATACAATGAAAGAAGGTTTTTAACCACATCTCAATAAAATTATATATTGTGCCCCCCCCACGAAAATGTATGGCCCCCCAGTGCACCCCCGCTGAAAAAATCCTAGCTACGCCACTGTTCACACGGTTTTCAATAATACTAATTGAAATGGCTTCACTCTACCTTTACTCTTTTTATTCGAAAACTTGCTAAATCGATGCTTCACAGCTCAGAGATGAAGCAAATAGAGATTACTGTTAATAGTGAATGAAATAATCATCCTTTATAATGTAACCATATCAGGAGGTACACAGAGAGAGAGAGAGATGGGGGGGGGGGTGAAGATATGGAGAGAAAAAGAGAAGGGGTGAAGATATGGAGAGAAAAAGAGAGAAGGGTTGAATATATGGAGAGAGAAAGAGAAAGAGAGAGAAAGAGCGAGAGAGAGGAGGGGTGGAGTAGACATGGAAAGAGAGGGTGAAGACAGGGCGAGAGAGAGAGAGAGAGAGAGAGAGAGAGAAGGGTGAAGACAGAGAGAGGGTCAGGCTAGACTGGTTCCCGGCCCCATTGGTTCTGCCGGCCCATGAACGAGCACGAACTAGCATGAACGAGCTTGGGAGTGGCGTAGTGGGACGGGTACCAGCCTAACCAGGTCAGGCCTAAGGGTCAACCTATAAGGGTCAGGCTCGAATTCACCTGCCGACTCATGGCGCCACCGTAGAGGCAGAAATAAAACTAATTTAAGAGTATGCCTCATTACAAGTATTATTATGCACTTTATTATTCTATTATGAATTATATTACTGTGAGACATTTACAAGCTCATGGTTACTGACCTCTTGCCGATGTACGATCATTAAATAAATAAATAATTAAAATAGATCAACATCTCTGCCACGCGTGCACTGATTTTGCATAGCAGCACGTGGCAGGAAGAACAATTTCCCGCTCACACTATACGCAAAATACCAGATCAAGAAATAGTTCAAAATAAATAAATGTGATGCACTAGCTGTTTTATTTAACATTGCGTTATAGACGGCTACTATAAATTCGGTAATTACGTATTATTATCTAGTACAAGAGTATTTAATATATTGCTAAAAATACAAAATGGCTCATGGCTGATTTACGGAAATGACGGAGGGCACTTCACCTTTGACCTAACCAAATATGTCAGCTGCTGAAAAACCTCAGCTCCTCAGCTCGCATGGAACGTCACTTGTAATGTTTATTTTGCCTTTGTTGGCAATGGTCAAGCATAGGGTTCAAGCTGTACTCATTACTCAACTCAACAGACAACAAACACCGAGCGTGAAAGCGTGTGCTACTGCTAGTAAACACGTTGTCGTCCGTTGTCGTCCGTTGTGTTAGGCAGAGAAGGGCGGTCAGTTTCTGATCTGCTAAACCTGTTATATCTATGGTTATAAGCACTGTTTAGTGTTTATCTTGCGTTGTCCTACATGCTAGCCTACGGCTACGGCCCACCCGCTCAAGGATAGAGAGCATGTCCAGTAATAAACATCATTCTATCCTATCACCGTCCTGGACATCATCGCTATCCTTGCCCTTGGCTTGAATCGCTCAGGTGACAATATCATTGAAGATGATATCAGAATATTGATACTGATACTGATAGACTCCTACCTGATGATATCTGTAGGCCGTGGCTAGTGGCTACGCGACCGAGAGAGAGAGAGAGAGAGCTGTGCGTGTGTGTGTGAAAGAGAGAGGGGAGGAGAGCGCGAGAGAGGACGGATGAAACGATAGACGGCAGCAGTGCATTTACGGCAATCAGCAGAGCGTCCCGTTGCGCAATCATGCGTGTACGCAAGTCGCGCGGTTACTGTCTGACACTGTGAGTGGCAAACTCCACGACAGATGGCGCTCTCGCTCTGGCTCAATACTACTGTATTATCCTGAGTGTGGGAAGGGGCACTGCATGCAGTTTGTGTGAGTGGATGTCAGGATGCGTAGCCTGGAGGCTAGGCGACCGGTTCCAAACACGTAGCCACTGCGATTTGTAACTAGCCTACGTTGTGTCGCTTGTGTGTGATTTGTGCAACAAGTGGCGTGCAGTGCCAGGCGTTTATGTCAACCCTGACTGGAGTATCCAAGGTATTTAATTAATTCATGTATGCGGTTTAGTAATATTAGTGTTAGCTCTAGTACTGTATCGTACGTAGCCCGCGTACAGTTGCCGCAGGGATATAGAACATTCTATTACGAATGCTAGGGACCAACCCGCTGACTGGCGCTGCTGTAGCCCGACCAGGCTGTGCGACGGATTGTCTATACAGTTACGGTATTCTAACCCTATATACAGCTACCGCAGAGCTACAGCTACAGCTAGCTACTACAGCTAGAGCTACAACTACTACAGCTACAGCTACCTCTATACGGTATTCTAACCCTAGCAATACCGTTTCTTGGAGCTAGCGCTGCTGCAGCGCCACCAAAATGGGCGTTTGAAGTTCGTAAATAATTTTCGTTCACAAGAAATGCCACAAGCAGACATTTCAACGCTAGTTCGAGGTTAAATTTTAGTAGCTGATATAACTTAAGACATATTCACTTCGGATAAGAGGCATTGCTTGCCTACCTCAGACGTTTTATAGCCGCGAGGAACCGTGAATAAGTTGGTCCCTAGCATTCGTAATAGAATGTTCTATAGCCTTGCGGCTACGCGGGCTATTACTACTGGTACTAGTACTACTACTAGTACTAGAGCTATATTAGTGTATGCACGCGATTTTTAGGAAGATGCAAGTGATTGACTTATATTTAGCTGTCTTCACCTGTTGAGCTAATTAATGCTCCATAAGAGTGTTCTCAACTTTGATATCATTAATGATTAATGATTGATAATCATAACCCTAACCCTAACCCTAAGGCCTAACCTAAATGACATTAAACCACAAACTAATATATGACCATATATATGTATATATGTTATTATGACCATTAATGAATTGGGAACACTCTTAATGGAGTATCACCCACCTGTGGCTTAGAGTTAGAGCTGTACGTACTATAACTGCAATGCTCTAGCTGTGATGGGTGATGTAGTGTAGCTAGGGCTATATCATACGTACACACGCACGCACACATAATATATACTGTTACATGTATATCGTTTGCAGATGGACAAGGAAAGGGGTAATACGATTTCCCCGATAGAAGCAGATGGAGATCCCTACACGTTTGATCTGACCAGTGATGACCTAGAAGAGATGCTGGCGCCGGCTGCGACCTTTGATGTGCTCGAAATACCGGACACCACCGTAGCCGAAGATTTTAACGAACCTCCCCGGCAATTCAACACAGCCGATTATGGAGGTAGTATATAGGCAACCCCCTCCTTCTTACTCTAGATATATTCACTTCAGCAATGATGTGTCTGTGTGAACGTTTAAGGGGTTTAATTAGTGGAATGTGAGTCATCAAGTCTCAATTAACCCATCTGTATAAGTGAGGTAGCCATCCCCCCATCCACCTGGTTATCAAGGTTATGGTAGCTAGATTGATCAAGCCATACCATGCAGTTTGCTGTGGTATTTGATTGGCAAGCATTGTCTTTTAAAACATAATTTACATTCTCTCGCAACAATGATTGATTAGAACTACCTATATCAATCACTGCAAGAATATATATGTATATATTTATATATATATTATATATATATATATATCGGTTTTCAAGCACGCTGCCTGTTTTGCATTACATATATATGCACATTCTCTCACTGCTTCCAATATGTCGTTCAGAACACAGGAAGGCTTCCTATAGTTTTCCGCACATGCACAAGCCAATGATGCCTCTCAAAGGCCACCACCACAGGCATAGGAAGAAACGCTCTAGAGCCAATCTCAGAGAGCCGACATCAACCAACTCTACACAGGTACTAAAATCTAATCGAATACTCCCCTTTCTATATTCTTTTGCATACAATTCAGGGATTTATATCATGGATTTTACGATAAGTTTTGCGGAGATTGTTACGAAATAATGTTCGTAGTACTTACGAACATCGTAAATTAATTCTCACAGTTGATGGATACCTATAATGAAAAAATTATGTATGTTTAGATGAATTCACGAGTTTTAGGGCAGTTTAACGAACATGTAACGAGAGTAATTCTGACCGAAATTCCTAGCCTGTCTGTCTCTGTTTCTGTTGATCTCGTGTAAATACAGGTTCGCAATCACAATCCGTCTGCTAGGCCGTAATTCACTAATGACATTCTCGCATGCCAATTAAAACGATGCAGCTCGTTCATTAGCACCGATTACCGACATTGCGTCCGCCACAGGGGGCGCTAGCGGGGGACGTCGCGGACGCTACTGTGACGTCGACGACTCGCAAGCATCAATCTGCGCCCGTGATGCAGTCACCCGCGGGGGACGCCATTACGACGACGGGTAGTCTGTCATCCATGGGAGGCAGAGTCGACAGCGACACGGTGCCGAGCGACACCGAACCGGTAGAGGGGGCGCCACGCATCGCCGAACCGGTAGAGGGGGCGCCACGCATCGCCGAACCGGTAGAGGGGGCGTCACGCATCGCCGAACCGGTAGAGGGGGCGCCACGCGTCGCCGAACCGGTAGAGGGGGCGCCACGCATCGCCGAACCGGTAGAGGGGGCGTCACGCATCGCCGAACCGGTAGAGGGGGCGCCACGCGTCGCCGAACCGGGAGAGGGGGCGTCACGCGTCGCCCACATGTCGTTTGTTTCGGAGAAGCCGCTGAGTCTGCGAGCGCGGCACCAGGCGCAGTTCTACGTCGGCAGCGGCACGCAACTCGCCGAGGACATTGCGGAGGAGGAGGCTGAGGAAATGATAACCCTGCTTAATAAGGAGGAGGTGAGCGTTGAATCGGTGATGCTGCTAGCGCAGGAGGAGGATGAAGATGTCGGGGCAGCAGAGGCTGCCGCATGTCGTCTGTCGATTGTTTCGTAGTGACTAGTGAGTCTATGATATTTCGTGCTACAGAATCGATCTCACGGTGGCATAGGGATGTTTTAAGCCATGTGTTTGTAGTGTAGAGTAACTAGCGCTGTATACTGAGTATCTACAGTATTTCACTGTGGTATCTATCTGGTATACACACATTCCTTCACCATCAGATAGTAGCACCAGGCACTATTTGCACTGCTATGTTGAATAAGGATGTGGATAACTGTTTCATCTTTGAGAGTTGGGTGCTGTAATGTGTCTATATGCATGGGACACTAGGGGGCGCCTTTGTGTCCAGTAACACCGGTGGATGCAGGTGACTTGTGATTATGTGATGTGGAGGAAATTGCTTGCCATTTTCAGAGTGATAAAGCTGTCCCACCTCCACCGCCACCGGTCACAATAGGTGAGAGAAATCAATGCTTAGATAATAAATATACATGGGAATCAACACTTAGCTGTATGAATAGCTAATGGATATGAACTGGGGGTGGCTATGTGGGCTATTGGGGAGTAGGTACTAGGTAGGAATGTAAAATCTCTGTTTGGGTGAGCACGAATTAATTGTAATTGTGTGTTTTCTGCAGTTGTTCTTGAAGTTTTGTACTTGAACTCCGCCCAGAAAGTTGCGAATTTTAGAAACACTTTGCATTCGTGTAGGTTCCGGGGAGGCATCACAATCAGATGCAGCAACGCCACCGAGGAAAGTGTCGTTTGTCCTAGGTAGGTCTCATTGTACTTCCACTGATGGCTGCTGCTGGTGATGGTTGCTGTCCTAGCATGAATTTGGTAGTGAGTCATAACGTCGATCTGGTGCTGTTTGCAGTTTGGTGCCCCCTTGCATTTTTCTAGGTCACTGATAGTATGTTTATCTGCAATCAAGGTGTCCTGTATAACTGTGGTCATACAGTGATTACTGGGGATAACTTCTAAAAATAACCACTGTATGCACTTATACAGTAGCCACAAAAAAGGTCATGACTCATTTGAAATATATCGATGTGGTACCTCCCTGCGTTAGGACAACCCAGGTTACGTAAATCATCGTGATGGGATCAACAATAATTCACTCTTTCGTAATTTTACACAGGAGTACGTTGGGTTTCCTGTTTAAACGGTAGCATGCTCGATCACTGTAAATGAAATTAACATGATAATTATGCAGTAAGCCTGTAAGCTGAAAACATGTCGCCCGGGGCATCTTTGATACGTTTTTCGTACAGCTGTTGCAGTAGACACTCTGAACAACTGAAAAAATTAGAAATTAAAATTTTTTTTTGAGGTTCTTTTTGCAACCCCCCCCCCAAAAAAAAAAATTCGGGGGCTACTTTTTCATTTTCCAGGGCTTTTTTTCCACTTTCCAGGGCTGTTTCCTCAAATATACGCACAAGCACAGTAGCTAATACACACTGCCTGTACGAGCGAGGAGGATCGATTGTTTATACGCGAAGTCTCTTGCGGCTGGGGTCCAGGGCTCGCGTAAGGGCCCTGGAAGCTCAGGGGGTTTGAGAAAGCGGCCCGCGAGTCACGTGTATGGCTGTGCACATCGACGCTGCGTAAGTGCCTGCTGGCAGGGGTGGCATTGATTGAAGTACGGGGGGGGGGGCACGATTGTTTCAGCGCGGTACTAATCACTACTAAAATGTAGGGTAGGCATTGCTGGACTATGAGAGAGCGACAGCAACTCTTTCGGGGAATTGACGAAAAAGCTACAATCGGGAATGACACACGAGTGTGCCGGCAGGGAAAAATGTACGTGTGAATTTCATTAGGATTTTCTATGGATTACCGTTCTATAATCCTACGGGTCGTTGGTCCTACGGGTCTACGTAGGCACGCCCGCAGGCACACACGCACGCACGCGCGCAGGCACGCACGCGCGCAGGCACACACGCGCGCAGGCACACGCAAGCACGCCCGCAGGCACACCGGCACACACAGGCACGCACGCGCGCAGGCACACACGCAAGCACGCGCACAGGCACACACGTATATACACGCGGGCGGCGGCGTGCGCTTGATTGAATGCAATACAGTACAGTACACACATGCATGCTTAAATGGTAAACACTTGACAGTCACACCGTATAATGAATTCTACCGCGCCGTGGAACCGGCTGCCGCTAGCGGCAGAGGCCTAGGCATCGCAGCGCAGCAACGCCGAGCGAAAGCGGCAAGGCGCGGGACCGACCTGGACAATCGATTTCCAGGGCGACTTTTTCTTTTGGGGTCGCCCCCGATATCATGTTTTCGGGGGCTCTTTTTGGCATTTCGAGGGCGAAATCGCCCGCCGCCCCCATGTATTTTTTTCCCTGCTCTGACCTATGAATGAACTACGGTTTCTGAAATGTCCCTGTAGTAGTTAAATTGACTACGTCACGAATTGTCTATGGTAATATTTGTAAAATGTTTTTTGCCATTTTTTTACATTAAAAGTAAGAACTAACGGGACTAAACGTATCGTCAAATTCTCACCTGATAAGATTGTTTCTCAACTAGTTAAAAATCCAAAAAACCTGGACGATTTGATATTATGTTCCTGACATTAATTGCTTGCTATGGGCTATGTATGAGTCACGAGTGTATGTTTATATCAAACCATATAGTAAAATAGGAAGTATAATGCAGCAATTTAACCATAAAAAGTGAACAGAATTACTTATATTTTGTTAAAAAGTGGAAATATTTTTTTATTTTTACGATTGACGGTGACGTAATCACTTTAACCCCTCTCTGTTCGATATACATACTCCCTGTGCAGGTAGGTGTGGTATTTCTAGAGCACTCTGTCTGGCACTATGTACTATCTATACTAGGATGGTCTGGACAATTTTACCGTACTTGAATTTTTATTTACGACTTCACCACACACGTTCTGACTGTAGTTTATTGCGCTGGTTCTCTCTCTCTCTCTCACTTTCTCTCCCTCCCTCTCTCTCTCTCCCTCTCTCTCTCCCTCTCTCTCTTTCCCCCTCTCTCTCCCTCTCCCCCTCTCTCTCCCTCTCTCCTCTCTCTCTCTCTCTCACTGTGGGTATTTCTCAAGTTTTTCTAAAATATTTTTTCAATGCGGAAAGTTGCCAGCAATTTCACTTTGCCTGGTAAACGTGATTAAAGTTAACGTGCGTTCTAACGTGATTTTTTGTGAGTTTTTTTTCTAGCTGCAAGGTTGTGCAAGACGCGAAAAAAATTCAATAATTACCCAAGCCTATATATATATACGGTGGTTATAAATACGTCGTATCCCATACACTAGATTCTCTGTGCACATGCCATACAATGCAGTTCTGATTTTTATCCCCGGGTTAAGGAAACAGCTAGAACTGGGGGCAAATGGAAAGAGATTGAAGAACTGTTGCGAATAGAAAAACTGAGCGATGGTAAATTATTGATATTATTGATTATTAATTTCTGTTGAGAGTCGAGGGTAGTGGGCAGCTCATCTGTCTGGCGTTTGTCCCGCGTGCAATAGATTGCTCTCCTCAAAACGCAAGGCCTTCTGACTTGGATTCTTTTCTTTTCGACTCTAAAATGTCGCGCGGTCATACATTTAATACAGCTCTCACATGTTCATTGTACGTTAAGCAACTGTCTGTAATATTTTGTATAGCAGCCTAGGATACGTTAGAGTGACTTTGGGTACCTGTCCAGGGAGGTAGTAGAAGTTACAGTTTAATAATTAAATACATAATGAATACATTAATGAATACATAAATCATTAACCGGTGATGATTTAGAAAATCGGATGGTCTGGCATGGCACTGCTCCTGCGGTTGCTGGAAAATCAGTGGAAAAACACAGTAGACATACTTTCTCTCCGTATATATATATACAGTGGAACCCCGATTTTACACGCCCCGATTTAATGCGAATTCGGATATAATGCGATGAGCCGTTGGACCCCCTTTTTTCGCGATGACGTTTTATGTACCCAAACCATCACGATATAACTGGGCTACACTGTATATATCTTTATTTCAATCCTGGTTATAAGCGCGCCAGTTCCAAAACCAGTTTGAATAATTGTAGGTGTACTAGATGCAGAAAAGCTAGCATCGCGATTAGGTGGATCACACCACCGATGACAGTTTTATTTGTCCTAGGTAGGTCATCGCACTCTTAATTCTGCTCTTCTATCTCATCGACTTATCCAGAGGATATGCGATACCCTTACGTCAAAGGACGTTACAGTAATGTCTAGCTGACGGTGTTTCGCCTGTGAGCTGGCATGTATGCACCTTCTGCTGAGAATGCACATTCATGCATATCAGTGGAATTGCTGCTTTAAGTAACTGCTGCAGTATTATGATTAAACTGATGAGGGGCTGTAGCTATATGTGGCTTGTTCCATCGCTGAACTTGCCTTGCAACCACCATCCCGAGTGGTGTGTAAGGGTGGATTGCGTTGAAAAGATTTTGAAAGAAGGATGGTTGCAATTTCACATGTAAGCGACGCAAAGGGAAATTAAATTTAAGAAACAAATGCCCCTGTTCCTACCACACCATTCCTCTCGCCCTGAGCCTCATTTTGCATCCTACACTCATTGCGATACCTACACCTCCAGCTGTGAAACTACTGTCTTCGTGCGTGGTAGTGTGCTGGTAATCATGCTGCACTCTCTTACAGTAAGACCCTGCGTTACAAAGTTAATGCGTTCTAGAAAAAAAATATAATTTAATACCAAATATCATTAGGAAATCCTATTTTCCAGCTGCTTTTCATCATGTAATTGGAGATGCGTTCTCACATGCGCACGCACGCACGCACGCACGCACGCACACACATTGATTATGTAATGGGTGATAGAGGGAAGTAGAGTTTTTAATAAGAATTAGTACCCAGTATTTGGAGTACACTTGGGAAATGATTGCCGGAACATGTACATTATGTAAACAGGGGACATGTAAGCATGTCCTCTACAGTTTTGGAAGCCAATCTAACCAGCTGTTAGCTCATTACAAAGGTGGCTTACTGGAATTCATGGCAGCTGGCTGAACGTGCATATACATTTTGTTAATGTTAGCGATGTGATATTAGGCATGCCAAGTGTTTTGAACACATTCATTCCTTGATAGTAACGTTTAAGCAACTTTTTATTTCACATCACAAGTTCGGTGGTAAAATATGCAAATTAGGTATGCGCAAATTTTCGTAACGCAGATTATTACTGTATTACGTGGTAACAATGGTGTGTGTGCGGTTTCTGTTTTGGGTTGATACCAGCATTTGTTGTCCGTAGTTTCTACAGCGTTTTATTTATTTTGCGATCGAAAAACGCGCATTCTAAAAGCATTAATTGTATAAATAAAGTTGAGTTTGTTTAAATTTTAAGAAATAAATTTTAATGTGCAGGACATTCCGAGGCATCAGAAGCGTCACGATTAGCTGGGTCTGACATATCAAGGAAAGGTTCAACGGATCTAAGTAGGTCATCGTTCCCATCTCTTGTCTTTTGATAGTTAGAGAGGGAGGTCTCGTGGTAGAAGTGAGGCCTGAGGCATTGTCGGCAGTGCATACACGTGCAGAATGTTTACACACATCGCGATGTCAAATTGCTGCTGGCATGCAGCAGGTGTATATCAATCATATATTCTGACAAAAACAACCAGTTTTTTACGCTGGTGCGTGTGTGTGTACAGTTAATCGGTAGATAGAAACCTGAAATAGCCAGAACTTGGCGAGCAATTTGCACCTGCTTCTGTTACGTAGTTACAGAATCTAGGTCGCAGGTTGTATTTGAAATGTAAAACGAGCACGTTTTGGAGTCGGGCAATGTGTACCTGTGTAGTATTGTTACCTGTGTATCTGTATACCTGTGTAGTATTGTTATCTGTGTATCTATGTAGTATTGTTACCTGTGTATCTGTGTAGTATTGTTACCTGTGTATCTGTGTAGTATTGTAATAATTGTTGCAAATTACATGTCACGGCTCCAGCAATGTAGTGGTAAAGTTTTAGAGAGGTAGACGTGCATGGCGTAGTCATGAAAGCTAGGAGAAAGTGTGTCTCACAGGAGCACTAACGGTTACTACAAGGGAAGGCGACCAGGGAGTTTGCGAGAGAGAGAGAGAGAGAGAGAGAGAGAGAGAGAGAGA